GCGGGTGCCCGTGCCCCCCCCCCCCCCCCCCCCCCCCAGCCCTGGGCAGCGGGACCCCCCTCAGCACCGAGGAGGGGTTGAGCCCCTCTGGACCCTCTCTGGGGTGATGCCGTGGCTGCACGAGGAGGCTGGCATTGTTTTGGGGGCTACTTCTGGCCCATGGGAGAATCTCCCAGGCCGGATCTAGCCGATCTCCGGATCTGCCAATTAAGCCCAATCCTGGGCATGTCCTGGGCTGCGGCATCGCAATCTAGTGCGTGTCAGGATGGCGGAGCACATGTCCCTCACCAGCAAAGCCTGGCACTGCTGGGGTATCATCTGGGGTGAGGAATCGGGAGGGGGTGATGGGGAACAGCGGGGCTCACACCGATGTCTCGCTAAGCCCTGGGCTGGGGCATCGGGTGCGGTGCTGAGCACGGGGTGCTGGGCTCACCCTGCACCATCAAGGGCTTGCAGACGGGCCCTGGACCAGGGACGTGGCAGAGCCCTTGACTCAAGGATGCGCCCAAAGGGCTGTGTTCGACGGGAGTCCGACCCTCGTTAGGGCTGCCCCACAATTAGCCATCAGGTCCCGCCGTCCCCCGAGCCACCCCGCCGGCTCGCGTGCCTTGCAGCGGCTGGAAACCCAAGTGATATTTATCCGTGGCTTCACCAGCTGTTTTGTTTTCCCTCTCCTTAAAGGTCAGGAGGCTCTGCCTGATGTTCCCGCTGCGGAGCCACGGGGATTGCCCTCTCTGGTCCCCCCGCACCGGGGCAGAGCAGCTTGTCCAAGTGACAGCCTTACTCCTCATCCAGCATCATGGGAGCCGTTCATGCACCCAGCTTTTAGCCTTGTGGTATAATCCTGCTTCGTCCTCCTTCACTTCGGGGCCGCTCGAATTTGCGGTGGGGGAAGAAAATGTGCATTAAATGGATTAAACTGACCCCCCCCACTTGCTCCAGGCTCAGGGGGATGAGCTGGAGAGGTGCCCAAAGAGAGGATTCGCCTTCAAAAATGAGAGCAGCGTGCCAAAGCGCGCTGCGAGGGCAGAGGGAAAACCTGAGACAGCATCGGCAGCCTCTGCGATAAAAGCCGGGGGATACACAAGGTGAAGAACAGACCCCAAACCCCTCATTCCCAGCTGCCCCGAGTCCCCATTTGCAGGGATGGCCCTTCCTCTCCCAAGGGAACACCCACCCTTCTTGTAGCCAGAAGGACTCACAGATGTTATTTCCACACCTCCGGCTCCTCGCTTGGTGCTAATGTCCCAGCTCTTTGGCAGGGCTGGGCAGATTCCCCCCTGCCCTTCCCCGTGTGGAGGTGCTCACTTCGTAAGCTGAGCAATCAATAGGTAATTACCGCCAGGCACAGGCGCCCGCTGCCTTCCCCAGACCTCAAAAACCACATGCAATATTTATCTGCCCAACAGGCGCGGGCTCACGGCGTGACGGGATTCGGGGGAAAACTGCCGCGGCTCCGCCCGGCGCAGAGCCACATCGCTCCCGCCTTCGCAGCGGGGCTGCTCCGACGGGTGACATCCCCGAGGTGATGCTCGGCATGGTGGGGACCATGCCCGGGGTGGGGGACAGGGGAAGGGGCCAGCCC